AAAGTGTCCCCCTCCTTGTTCCAAGCACTTTTCACACCTGTTCCTCAAAGAATTAAAGACATTTTCTAAGATGCTCGGGGTATTGTTAATTTCACGAATCTTGTCTATAAGTCGAGCCTGCAGATGGTTTAAATCAGGAATAGGCAGTTCAAAAATACTGTTTTTAAGGTAAGGCCACAAAAAGAAATCACACGGCGTAATATCACATGACCTCGGTGGAAATTCATGTTCAGCATTGAGACTTATTAGTCGATTTTGGAAAACTTCCCTCAACATATTCATCGTCTCGCCTGCCGTATGTGCCCTTGCGCCATCTTGTTGAAAGTAAAAGTTTGTAATTTCGTTTTCTTCCAGCTGGTTAACAAAAGGAGCGATAATTTCTTCTCTATACCTTTGCGCAGTAAGAGTACCATTAAAAAAATAGCTCCATATATCCTCCTTCGATTGAGAGCACACCAAACTCCAATTTTTTGAGCGTGTAGAGGGCCCTCGACAAAAAAGTTATCTGGTTTTTCAGAAGACCACATTCTCATATTCTGTGAGTTTACGTAACCACTTAAATGAAACCAGGCTTCATCAGAAAAAAAGGTGATATTATGAAGTTCATCGTAGTTGTTTAAAAACCATTCACAAAATACAGCCCGTCGCGGAAAATCAACTTCATGAAGTTCTTGCTGACAAGTTAAACGATAGGAGAACAAACGCAAATCTTTTTTTAACACTGTGTGGCAGGTACCGACTGATACTCCCACCATTTGTGATAAAACACGTACAGAAGTTCTTGGCGCATTTTCCATTATTTGTTGGACATTTTCTTTTAATTCTTCAGTCCGCTTTTTTGCTTCCTTCTTTTCTTGTTACACTGCCCGTTTCACGAAAAACATTAACACAACGCTGAACTGCACTTTGAAAAATTTTGTACACAACAACGCCGGGAAATTGATTTTGAAATTCTATGAAACATTCCTCAATAGAATACTTCCATATTCCATCAATCTTGCGTCCATTTCTAAAGTAGGACTCTATGATAAACACTTTTTGTTCTTGAGAAAACACCATTTTAAACGCTTTTTAAAACGAAAATATTCAAATTGATAGCGGCGATATAGCGCTTTGACATATGACGTTTTAAGTTCATTTGCTATACGCTACGCCCTACGTTCAAATTTTCAGAACCAACTTGACCACGTTTTTATTTGAACGCGCGTTATAAAGAATTCTAAGATCACAGAGGTCCACAGTAACCATGATTGGTCAAGATCAAGTCTACTGTGGACCTCCGTGGTCTTAAAGTTCCCCACTTAACTATGCCCTATGGTATTCCACTAAATGTTTTTAGATTAGTTCTTCCCACATAGCACTGCATGCATTTGCATTCACAACATCTGAACAAACTTTAATATTCTATGTAACGTGTCTCTGCGCCGAAGAAACCTTGTAGAGAAAAAAATATCGTCCTGTTATGACATATATGGTGTAAAGTTTCAAGAACCTCATTTAAAAACCCGCTTAATATAGTACCGCTATAATTAATACACGACACTTTAGATTATCTCGTACAGTACAAGACCACCGTCCTTCGCTTGATAGAAATATGAACACATTATTACATTTAAATGAAACAGAGTCCCAGTCGCGACGTGGAGGCGTTTAATGTCTAACATAAAACTTCAATAGAGAAATGTTGGTGGCTGTTTAGAAATGGCAATATATTTCCTTTTATTCCGCTTTACATGTCTTAAAAGACACCTGTCTAATTCCACCGATTCTTCCTCTGCAAGACTCATAATTTATCATAATTTCGGACACATCTATTTTACTTGACCTGGAAATATCAAATTTATCTCGGAGACGTTAGATAACTCTAGAAGCCTCAATATTTTATTAAAGTCTACAATTAATCATTTCAAGTGAACCTTATCTTAACGGAAATAACCATTCCTCATACTCCGTCGTATAGATGTAGAGGTGGATTTAATCCAATTATTAATCAGCAGTTACGTAGAATAGCAATATGTGGGAGTTACTCACATTCCCAAAACTGCCGCCCATAAATCAATATTATCGGATCTACTGGTATTACGTGTGATATTTAACTTTCTAAATTACATTAAAATGAGACATTTCTGTCTATGTCCAAACCTTTTGGACACCAATAAAAGAACATGGTTCCACACAGAAAGAAGGGATTAGTGTAGTGTAGTTCCAAAGTAACTTCCAAAAATGAAGAACAAGTTGAGAAAAGCATCTTCTTATGGTATTCAAGCGATCTTATGCCATCTAGGCACACTGCGGTGACTGGATTCAAAATTAGTACGCCAAACACATCATGAAGACGTAGATTGAAACGTTGCATTGAAAATATTGCTCCTACAAGGCACCGTCAAGGAAGGTTACATTTACTCATATCGAACTATTATAAGGTAGACTGAAACAAAGCATAGCTTTGGAAATTTTGGTCATTTTAGGAAAATGAAGTATCTATTGACGTAATTGTAATTCAGTAGAGATGTTACTATAAAAAGTATCTCAGTGGGAGTAAATATTTTGTACGCTTTCAAGATTCTAAATCAATACACGATAATTATCTAATTATCTTAATCAACAATTTGTTTTTGTTTTTTTAATAACCTCATCAATCAATCACCAATCTGAATCATCATCTAATCAAGTATTACAATATTTTTCACATCCAAGGCATATTAAATGAAATATCTTAGAGTCATTAAGATTAAAAATGCATTACAGAACACGCTTTTTAAAGCCAATAACACTAAGGAGGTTTATTGGAGATTTTTCAATATAATCCTCGTATTTAGGATTCAAAACTGGAAAATTCCACATTTTTATAGTGTTTTGCTGACTTCTTTTCTTGATCTTTTAAATATAAAATATGAATGTGATATAAGGCAAAACCTACACTGTAAAAAAATCGGTGTACGAAGTGAGTCTATTGACTGAAATTAATGAGTACCTTTCTACTCAATACTGAACATTTTCATAATTTTACTCATATTTGAACTAAAACTGACAATCTACGAGTACTTTCATTCAACCGTTAAATAAATTCTGCAGATAAACTTGTATTTAGTGCACTTATAGCTAATTCGGAGTAAATGTCCTCATCATTCAATGACCCAACCTCATTCTATGGTTGTCGTACGTATTCTTTGTCCCCATCGTCCCCATTAAGTCATCTCGTGGTGCATGGCGTATAGTGCTGGGGAAGTGTGCGTTAATCCGGTTATTTTGGTCAAAAAAATGTTTAAATGCAGCGGTTTGATTACAATAATTAAAAACATTATTATATTGACTCTTGATTAATATTTGGTTAAATAAATGGATAGTTAGTAGTATTTTGAGTCTGAGTTTTGAGCTGAAATTGTTGAAAGTTGTATAATTTATCTATTTATCTAAATATCCACTTATTTTTTGTGGATTTGAGAATAAGTTTCAAGGGTTTGAGGTTAGGTTTTTATGGACATAGCATATGTTTGAGGCTTCAGAAGTACAAAATATTAGCTCCAGAATGGAGTTTTCAAGGAGTCATAATCTTTGGTTTGGAAAATATCCTTCGTTTTACTTTCTAGCACAGATTTCTTGGATTTGAGGTTAGATATTTAAGAATAGAGGTTAGGGGCTTCAAAAATAAAAAATATAAGTTTCCCGAAAATAATTTTCAAGTTTTTCTTTGATGTGGAACATACGCATCCTATGAATTTCTAGCTCAAGTTTTTAAAACTTGTAGTTGGGTTTTGAGGGTTTGGGGCTAGGTTTTGAAGGGTTTGAGGTTAGGTTTTTATGGGTGTAGGTTTATGACTTTAGAGTTAGCAAACATAAGCTCAAAAATATAGTTTTAAAGTAATTATACTCGTAGATTTAGAAAAGAGTCAGTGCATAACTTTGAGGTTTGGTTTGGGGAATTTGAGGTTATGTTATTGGGTTCAGGTTTAAGGTTGAAAAGTATTGTGAAGCTACAAGATTATTTTCGTTGTTTAATCAACACCAAATATGATTTTTTTTTATTTTTGAATACCTGTCTTTGGTGTTGAGGTTGATGGGTTCTCACTCGATTTAAAACATTTATATATAGGTATATCAAATTATCGCACCAAGATCATAAAATTAAGCATATTTGAAGAATAAACATGAAATTACCACTGCACGGTTAAAACAGCGCAGCGTCCGGGCCTACAGAGATGACGTCGGTAAAGATAGTCCCGCTCGACCCCGTCCAGTCCAAGGATATTGGTGCCATGAGTTAATTTATCTTCCTTTAAATCTGTGCTTAACTTACCTCTCAATACCATCCGTAAAACTTGATATCAACAGCGCTTGAAAAAATGAATCAGTGACTGTTTCTCTTTCTTATTATCGATGCTTTAATAATAACTTGCTGGAACTAGTAACCGACAACAACATTAGCATTCCTAGCCCGAGTATTTATATTTACCGTTTTGTATTTTATTACCACATTTGCGATGTTTTTCTGGCAAACCCGAGGGGGTTTTTGAACCTCGCAGTTTGAAATATTCCAGGTTGTTTGGAGGTGATTTTTTCCGAGTCCCGGGAATAGATAAGGATTCCAGTAATATCTGGTAGCAAAGGGACGATAAATAAACGGTGTTCGCACTCGGTAAATACCACACCTACGGAATGCGCGTTCTTTGTTTATACAGCGCTATTAATAAACAAATATACGTAACAAACTAGATACAGCAGTCTGGGGAATGTTTACCGGCGGCGGAGGTCAAACCGATTCGAGATGGGGCAGGTTAGTGCAAACAAGTAAACGAGCCTGTAAAGTTTTAACATCTTTATTAACAAAATTGCATATACGACCTACAAAGGTACAGAAAAAAAAAATATAGTTAAAAGTAGGCATATGCAGGAAAAACGTAATTACTCGCAAATTTAACAGTACACATTAATTAGTCTTAGAAAGCAGTATTAAGGAATTAAAATAATTATTAAATATTATTAAATAAATAATAATTAATAATAACACAACATAAAAAAAAATGAAGTATGTACAGTGACAATAAAGATGATATGACGTAAAACTACACAACAAACGATAAAAATACAATGTTTCATATTGCAAATCAAACCTAGAGAAACGGCAAGGAACTACCTACCACTGACTTACATTAAGCAGCTGTATAATATAAAATATATCTTGTTAAATACATACATACACTTTATATAAAATTTAAACTTGTTTATTTATAATAAAAAGAATCTCATTTAAGCATATCTGCACATATATATATATCCATACTCAGTAATAAAATATCAGTCTTTTAAAAAGGTACAATTTCTTCACAATTTTACTCAAAAACATTCAGTTTGGCACGTACAGAGTGACTAACAATCACCACAATTTAACAAACTACGGTCATAATTTTATATCACAGATTTCAGTCACAGACCAAACTCCTTCAAATGGCTTTTCGCGATCGGTTTTCTCGGATCCTGGAAGAAACATATAATTTCCATCCGCAGAGTGACTAAAGTTACTAGAGGTAAAAGCAGTCTTCCGACTCCTTAGGATGGTTCTCCATTTGGCAACGTTGAATTCACGGAAGTTATAGGAAGCTGCAACAAAGAGAACCCACCATTACTGCTGAATCGATTAATTTCAACTATTAAGTCTAGGAAGTGGTTATTTATGCATATCTGGGTGGGAATTCAGTCCGTTCCCGCATAATGAGCGTTTCGTAACGATTTTTTATATTTGTGTACCTCCATTTACTTGCAAAGCAAAACTTCAATCGTACATCAACAACATGTATCGTTCTTATGTATTTAAATGAAATATCTTAAATGTTTCACGGAAAATTATTAATAAGCACCTGAATATTATTTCAATAAACATAATTTTAAAATATTACACGGACATTAAAAACTGACAGCACTGAATATCTAGTTGGCCCAGCTCCTGGCAGCCCAAAATGGGCTGTAAAACTTTTTGGCAAATTAAACTTACTGCTAACTACACTTTACCTACAAAGTTACATAAACACGTGTAATGACTAGTCTATAAATGTATTTTCGGAAGCGTCCAAATATAAATTGGTTATCCTTATTACATGACAACTGCATATGATGGAAATATTCTAGGCTTCAGTTTTCCGTCCAAAATTAGATTTCAAATTGCATATGCCGTTATTCACGAACACTCTTGTCACCTATTGAGAATCATCATCCTTTAAATAAGTATATAACGGGTGTTTTTTTTTAACCTAAAGCTTTCAAGTATCTCGAGAGAAATAAACACTGCGAAGAAATGTCAATAATCAAAATTTAATCATCCGGGGTGGGGAAATAGTGTTAAAATTAGTCCTTCTCTCTCACTTTGAAATCTTAAACAGAAACCATGGGGGTTTCTGTTTATTTCAGGTTCGAATTCTAGGGCTAAAAGTACGTAGGGTTTGTCTGAAACATTTTTTTCGATTCAAGATAGAACACTGTTATTATCGACGAAATTTTTCTCCATTTCTCTTATGTATACGATTCTGCAATGTGTTTGCAGTAAAACAATACCACGTTTTATGTATATAAGTACTCGAAATTCGTCGTCAAAAAAGTTTATTCATTTTGCAAATTTCGAATAACTGGGAAATTCTTGCTTGTCCAAATGCAATGGCTGATAAATAAACAGCTTTTAGTGTAATTAGGAACAACGACAAGGACATAGTAGTTTTCTGTTTCATTCGAAGTGCTTGATAAAAATGACTTGTTTCTTAAAGTCGTTTCTTTCTTTCTACGTTTGTTTTGTGTTTTTGCAGTCACAAAAAACACGAAGTAAGAAATAACACAAACGTTAAATGTGAACATAATAAAACATTTTTATAAAAATTATTTTTAACAAAAGAAATGGTTTCTTTAGAACAAAATATATACATTCATTTGAAAGCAGATTTAATCAAGCACTCCGATAAGTAATAAGCGAAGATAATCGCGGTGCCCAGGTATCCCAAAAAGAACGCCTGCTCCTCCGTTACAATAATAGTAGTTTTTCGACAAGTCATTTTTCAGTAATTGAAAATTTGAGAAATAAAATTTGTTTTAAAACTAATTTTGACTATTTACAGTGAAAATGTGATATTTTTTATTGCAAACGTATTGCAGAATAGTATAAATAGGTTCTCATTAGGAGATATCAAAAAAAATTGAATTTCATCGATAATATCTATCATCAATCGAAAAAAATGTTTTAGACAAACGCTACGCACTTTTATCCTATGAATCCGAATCTGCAAAAAGGGGTTTCTATTTCAAAGTCCCCCCGCCCATCTACAAGGAGGGGGGGACTAATTTTAACACTAATATATTCCCTTCACGCAGTGATTAAATTGAACCAACCGTTCTAAAATTAAAAAAATGTTTACAGAGACCCATTCAACTGCCAATAATTGGGTACCTACGATACTATTTGAAATTCCTCGAATGGCTCAAGGAACGCAACGACCTCCAGAAACCTATTTTATATAAAACACATACGCCTCATACGATGAAATTTTTCCGCGACTGTAAATCTATTTCACACTGACGTACAGATAGTGACAAGATAAAGTAATATACAATCTGTTCCAAATGGATCCGAAAGCGGGTTTTGGGCTCAATTTTTTTAGTACTAGTCTGCAGGCAAATATTGACGGAAACAATTATTGAAAGATACTGTACGAGTGTTTTGTTTGTATTACTATAATACTGTGCCACACAATGCAGATAACAATTTTTAGTATAATCTTTATTACCAGTAATTTAAAATTATAACATTTTTATATTTGCACTTAAATGAAATAAATTATGAAGCATTGTCTCCGTCTGTATCTCACCCTGTACACTGTGATAACAAATGATGCGTGCCATTATTTACAGTGATATTAACTTAATTGGCCTTATCATCCAGTGGCTGCAAGTCAGCTCAGAGTTGTATTTGACGAAGAAATAGTTTTGTTATCGCGTTTATTATTTATACATCGCCAGCCTATATATGTCATAAATACATGTTAGTAAGGCAGACACACCGAAAAATAACGTGCCAGACACAGACCAGGGCGGATCTGTCGAAATACTGGGCGAGGTCCGGAACATTTTCAAAATTACAAAAATGTTTAAAAATTTTAAAAAAATACCTTTTTTTACTTATATCTTGAAACCTATGCATTTTGGAAGAATATTGAAGAGCAAAAAAAGTTTTAGAATTGAATTTAGTACAATATACTGTAGGTTAAAAATGTTTAAATTTATTACCTATGTTGCAAAGTAGCAATAATTAATGAAATTTGGTGTGTTGTTTTATTATACTCTAAAGTTTTTTTTACCAAAATTAGAATGCCCTCGGAGCAATTAAAATATTTAAAAAGAATTATTATACTTGATTATTTTAAACATTTTAACTTACAGTATATTGTGCAAAATTCAATTCTTAAACTTTTTTCCTCTTCATTATTCTTCCAAAATGCATAGGTTCCAAGATATAAGTAAAAAACTCAGATAAAATAGGTATTTTTTAAATTTTTTAAACATTTTTGCAATTTTGACAATGTTCCGGACCTCGCCCAGATCTAGGAATATACACATTTATTAAGCGAGTTGTACTGAAGGTAATCCAGAAAAAATTTGCTTGCCTCCTTTCACATCCACCTCAAAACAGATGCTGGTCTAACAGTACAAACTGTTCGCAAGCTTCGCTAAAGAAAAGCATGGATAAATGTAATGGAATTTCTCTTTTTCTTCTAAACTAAATCCATATTTGACATTTAAAAATGATACAACTGGTTCTATCTTGAACGAATTTTGTATAACCGCGCGAAAAATAACAAAATGAATCTACAAAGTTTGAATCATGTTTTTTTAAATGTCAAATATGCATTGCATGTATATGGCAAAAATCAACCCTTGTATAGTGTATATTATGTACTGAGTATTGAAAGTTTTTAGGTGTGTCGTTATCTAAGCAGTTATATATTGATTTTTAGTTACTAAGAAAAAGAGAAATTTTGAGAATATGAAGAGACCAACAGCATGACCCCGGTAAATAAATTGAAAGAGAATACTAACTATTTTTACACCCAACATGCTGCCTGCTTATTCCATATTGGTTGGATGAAAGGGAGTGTTTACCAGTAAGGATTTGAATTTTCTAAATGCGTCCAGCTAGCAAATTCCGACCAAGAGTCCATTTTTGCCTGAACAATCTCAACACATTTGCTCGGAATTACCTTAGGCTCGCTCGGGTTGTCCCTCCTGTTGTAAAGGTCGTCATTGGACAGCGATTTGTGCAGGGGCGTCTGTATTCTCTTCACGATAACGTAGTTTTTGTTGTGGTTGTTGTCCCAGTACTCGGTCCCCTCACAACGGAAGCACACACAGAACTCGATTTTCGTAGCCTTCGGTGTTAGCGGTATTTTAAATGAAAAAGTGTCATAGAGTACGTACGCTGGTGTTACGTTCGACGCTAGGTTATTCGGCACAAACACACAGAACGCGTCTTCGTACGTCTTCCAGTCGTTGATCGAGGACCTTACTATGACTTCTTTGTGGAAGGAGATGTTCTTGACCTTAACCGTTCCTAGGATGGTATCCTCGGACTCTTTCACGATGACGTTCTCCAAAGACACTTTCTCGTTCTCTAGCCTCTTCCGGAAGTGCACGTAGTCCGAAGCAGGCTGAGGAAACGTGACTTCCCACGAATCCACGTGGCCCACTGGGTCTGCGGTGATACCTTGCGTCACCTCCGCAAGAAATCGGAAACTCCAAAGGGGCGGCACGTTGGACGGTTCAGTCATGACGCGGACGTGAGTGAGGGACATGCCTTTGTCGTCGGCGAACACCACCTTCTTTTTCAGACGCGTCGGGCTGGTCGGGTCTTCGTCGCTGGAACTGGACGATTCATCTGACGGACGGATAACCAAGCACGGCCGCTTCGGCGAAGCCGGCATTCTCGATACGGGTTTGATGAAGCTGCTGCACGAGTTCGAGTGCTGGATCAGCCGGCAGTTACCGCGGGGAACTCTGGGGAAGGAGTCTGCACCTAGTCGGAGGGCGGCATAGTCGGTGAGCAGGCCTCCCGTCGGCGGACTGTGGCTGAAAACTGGCGGACTGTGTGATACCAACATTTCGTAATCGACCATAGAACACATGAGTAGCTGAAACAGAGGAAAAGGACGAATTAGATAGCTCGATCGACACATGTGGAGGGCGTGCGCTGCGTCGACTTCGGATGCGCAATTTCGTTTTGGCAAACTGCTAATGTCAAATACTTTCTATGTATATACAACCTATTTCACACCGCCCACGAGGATGTAATGCCAAGTGGAAATTACACTGTGAAAGACGGTTTGAATTCATTAAATCGTTATGAAAAGAGTCATATAGGATACAAATGTATTTTTATCTTAATCCAAATTTTTGGCAACTCAGATAACAATAGAAATCATTATCTAATCTTCATTTAGATGCAAAAGGATTAGAAACTGTAGAATTAAAACTATAACAATGATTGAATAGAATTATATGGATGATTATTAAAATTTTGGAATGAGAATTACTATATCGCAACAATGAGCAAAAAAATAAACGATTTAATTTAATAACATTTAGGTAATCATTACATTGCAAACCACTAGTTAAGAGAAAGCTGTCAAGCTGATGTTATTTATAATGATTAAAACCTACGACAGTGCAAATCATGAGGTGCTCAAAAGAAAACTAAATATGAATTTAGGTAGGTACTTCAACGCAATACAAAGATAGTGCTGCAAAGAGCAAGTTTATATATTGATCAAGAGATCTTAATTTTCTCAATTTTCTAGACACGGTCACTAACTTATGTATATTCTGGTACATTTCATGTGTTCCTCTTTTTATCATTTAGGCATATTTTTCTAAAACTGTAAATGTAAAAATCTACGAGGCTTTCAAGCCCCTGCACAACTAAATACAGTCATTGAAGCTTTTCACCTCCGAATCTTTGAAACTGAACCGATCGACTTGAAATTTGGCAGATAGTTAGAGAAAAAGTCAATGAACATTAGTGACATAGCGCCGATTAATTCCACCCTGTTGGGGATTGACACCCCTTCTCAGGGGTGGATTTTTTTTCAAAAATAACGCTGGAAATCGATAGAGAATCAAATTTTGAGCAAAAAATATTCGAATAATTTTTTCGAGAAATCAATAGTTTTTTAATTATTCACGATTGGAAACTTGGAATTTTGAGTGAAAAACAACACTTTTTCAAAGTATTTTTTGCGAAAAACTCAAAAACTACGCATTTTATTTAAAAAAAATGTAACTTATAAATAAACAAGGAAAATCTTTTTTTAAAAAGTGTTTGTCCTATACAAAGCGAAATATGGTTAGTGGGAGGGGACTTGTTTTGGGGGAAATATTCGAAATTTTACGTGTATAACGCTCCTGGAGTTTTTTGTAGTACTCAAAAAGACCTTCAAAATGAGCACTTATAAAAGTTAATTAGAGCAAAATTGAAGGAGTTATTGTCAAAAACAGATGGGTTGCTCATATTTTTTAAGGAAAAATGAACAGAATCGTAGACCCTTTACAATTAGTTTCGTTTTAGTGTTTTTCATACGATCCTGAAGTTAGACCGGTTTAGAATGCGTATTTTTTGAGTAATGACGGTAAAAGTTGAAAACGTATTTTTCATTATTCAAAAAAAAATGCCTTATTTATATAATAACTCTGAAACTATGAAAGATATATAAAAAATGATAGACAAAATGTAGCTTTGCATAGGGGTATTTTTTAAGGGTTAAATAAAGGGTCGAAGAGATCAAATATATCATAAAACATGTTCGAGAACATGGAACATTATTTAATCTTTGTGCTTGAACAAGATTTTTATCAATAAAATGCTTAAAATTTTATTTTTTTCATTTTTTTTTTTTAAAAAACAAAAAGCTTCAATCGGGCTTATGTCACTTTTGAACTTGAGCCTAAGATGAGCCTTATTCTAAATTTTCATGCAAATCCATGCAGTTTCAAAGATTTCGGAGGTTACAGCTGATTTTCAGCTTCAAGACTGTACAAACTGTCTTAATTATATGAGTTAGTTGTACCGGATAAATAAAGTCCAGTAAATTAAACTATTAAAATACCGACTAATTATGCTAGTTATTGCGTTAAATTTACCGTTTTCCCGCTAATCAAAGCGCCATTATGAAAGTAGGGAACCCTCTAAATACCGAGATAACGACCCTCGCGTTTTTACCGAATTTCGAACGCATCCAGTCATTATTTCAGCACTTGTTTACGATGGCCGTTAAGATACGGCGATAAAAATTGAAAACCTCACTTAATGGTCCCATCTCCACAAACTCAATTACCGACGAACGGCACTCGACTGCACAGACCTACATTTGCCTATATTTGGGTAGCGTTAACATCACGTTTAGAAATCAAATAAAACGATCTCTTTTATCAAGCGGTATTAACGGCAAGCCGAAATGCATATTCGAGAGGGTATACAGGGTGTATCGAGCTCTTCGAACCATCCACAGAAGATTTTTTTATATTCGTATAATTATCTCGTCTTAAATTTTAGTTTTTATCGATATACAGGGTGTTAGTAAATAAGTGCGACAAATTTCAGGGGGTGATTCTACATGAGAAAATAAATCGAAATAAAAAATACGCGTTAAGATGTTTTATTTTTTTGCATCAAAACGGCGCCCCATACGAAGAAAAGGCAAGAGAGATTTTGTGTCACAAATTGAACGAGGAATTGAAAAATGATTTTTAATTTGTAATATCTCAGTGGCGTACCATTTTTTTCTTTAAAAAAATTGAGATTATTACCCGTACGCGCGCCAATGATGAACATAAAATTCTTAATTGCGTGTCAAAAAATGCGCAATAAGTACCTGTTAAAACCCACCAAATTTCATTTGCACATCTCGACCGGTTTCAGAGCAATAAATTAAATCGTCAGTTTTTAAGAAAAACTTTGACACCC